CTAACAAATTCTTGCGGCATGGACCAACTACTTGGAGAATAAGCCTATATCAGAAGGTTATCCAACTGGTTTTGAGTATCTTGAATGCTGGATTTCCCTTTTTTTCTTTTCCCATTTGGTGGTTCAAGGGTTGTAGACCGTTGAGTCCATTCTTCACTAAGATTTCAAATGAATTATATTGAAAGGTTCCTGAAGGTTTCATACAAGCTCAGTGTGACCTGGTACTGCTTGATATAAGCATGCATGCCAGTAGGATGCTGGCCTTGAAACTTGTTTTACTCTCATTTTTTAAGTTATCTAAACTTAACCCTCAAGCAGATATGGGCTTAGCCAAGTTGGCTAGAGTGGATGTGCTTCCCACTTTGCATCCGAGTTCGAATCCCCCTTCCCACAGTTTAGATTAGTTTAAAGTAGATTATCGTTTGTACAAAAAAAACACTTAATTAAATTCCAACTACAGCTAGACTAGACCAACAAGGTCCTAATCAACAGCCAAAAATAAGGGGTTTCTCTGTGTTTTTGAGAGACACAGGCCATAGTTTATTACTTTCATGTCACTGACATATTGCATTTTGATTGCTCTGAGGTCCTTAAGGACCTTCTTGCAAGATGAAACATTTGCTTAGTCTTAATGCAAGACACATTATATTTTATTAATTTAATTGAATATCCAATAAAAGAAGAGCTTGGTCAATACAAATTACAATGATGGCACCAGCCTTCTGGCCTAGAGAGTTCCACATCTCACAAGGCCTTAGTTTATGTTGGAGAAAGTGAATAGCTTTCCAAAATTAGAAAGTTTAGCATCTATGGTTGCTTAATTTAGCTGGGATTCTAAACCCTAGACATCTAGTAGATGCACATGGCTTCTTTTTCTTTTCTCCATTAAAGTTGAATCTTGGTGGGAGTGATTTTCTTTCAAACTCTTTGCATTTGCCCCCTTGATTGCATCTCGAGAAAAATTTCGAATTCTGAGCAACTTTTTAGGCATGTAAGGCGAAGTGTGACAAATGCAGTGACGATACATATATACATAATATATATTTGGATATTTTCACAATTTCACTTGCATTCATAGATTATAATTAAGTTGCGGTTTAGCAGTGTTAATCGTGTATTAAGAATATAAACCACAGAACATCCTGCACATAGCTTCATTGATTTGTTCAACATGAGAGTGGTAATTAAGCAATGCAAAAAAATTATGTACGAACTGCACGATCTCACTTGTTGGTTTTTGTTTAATTAAGTTTTGTCCATGCATGTGAGAGTGGTTTGCAACTTTGCACCAATCAAAGGGTTTGTTTAAGCCAAGCTTTGGCCTTGGATTTTGGGGCAAGGCCTTTGTTTGATGTGGCATCCTGCAATGTGAGAGTGACAGAACACAACACTCAGCCAAGTAAACTGTGTTTAATTATGCTCACGTTAATATAATTCTCGGGGTTTGTCTCTAAGATACTACTGTTTATATTGGTATAATCCAAATTAATCATGTTTAAGAAAGATATAGAAGAAGATGGGGAGGTCTTGAAAGAAGCAATGAATTAACTATATAATTAATTATGCGGAAATCGGAAGGATGGTTTGCTGCTATTTGTTTGATATTTAGCAGACCGAGAGAGAGAGAGAGAGAGAGAGAGAGAGAGAGAGAGCGCAAAGGAGTTTTTGCCTTTTTTGGGCAGTCGAGGAACGATATGAATCATGGTAGTTTTGGTACAAGTCAACCTCACATTCTATCCAACCAAAAAATAAATTAAAAAAACCTCACATTCTTTGGTACACGTGTTGGTCCGACAGAAGATGATGGGACTCTCTTTGTCGTGACACATGGCCAACTGCTATAACCTAACCCAGTTCCACTGTGGTGGTCCACAATACGATGATGCGGAAGCTCACATTGAATTGAAAACTTTCTTCACATCTCAGTCTCTATTCATTTTATAGCATGTTTACTAATTCGTAATTAGATTATGAGGAATTGAATTGAGGAGGAGATGAATTGAAGAGAATTAGATTCTGAATTTCTAATGAAGTTGTTTACTAAACCATATGGATTGAAGGGAGTTAGATTCCGGATTCCTATTAAAGTTGTTTACTAAACCATATAGAATTGGGATATAAGTGGTGCTAATTACTAAAATGCCCTTATTGTTGGGTTAAAGCATATGGCATATTTGGAAATTTGAAAATTGTGTGAGGATATAATGGGTAAAAAAGATGAATTCCTAATGAATGAATTCTCCAGGAATTAGAATACCACCTCCCAACCAAGAATTGAATTCCTCCAAAATCAGGAATTCAATTCCTAATTTTGTGTATGCCCCACTTACTTTTCAATTCATTGATGTGAAGTAAACACAGGAATTCTCCTTAAGCGGAATTCAATTCCTGTTGAGAATTCCAATTCCTGATTAGTAAACACACCATAATATAAACACACACACTACCAAAGTGACATAAGAGTTCGATCGTGAAACCATTGGTCTGCAAGCCTATTTCCTTTTTCATTGGGTTAGACCCTGTTCGTGTTGGCCAATCAACTCATAATTTGCAATGAAATATATTATCTTTTTCACGAGGGTTTGATAAACACAACAAAAATCATGCATTTTTATCAGTTTTGGGATTCAATGGGGGTATTTTTTAGTAGGATTTTGGAAAAATGGGCGATCATCAAATTGCTTGATATGGTTCATTTCAAGTCAATTAATATGTCTCCATAATACTAGGCGTCCCTTCAAAATAAGGATCTGTAGTTGAAGAATTTTCTGCTTCTCTTTGTTGCAGAGGGATTTGTTCTGCTCATGTTTCAATGAGATTTTTCCAACATGTTCTTCATCTTAATTTTGTGTTTCCTGCATATCTTGGTGACGGTGGTCATGAAATGAGATTATACTTTGAAATATATCTTGGGAAATGACCAGATCTTTCCAATAATTTGACCAGTAGTACTTTTAGCATGTGTGGTATATTATTTATCCTTTTGCCCTTTCAGGTATAAGAGCTGGTAACACAGTGATGGCCTCCCCTTTCCCCTCTGCTTGACACCCAGGAAAGAAACTCCTCCCAATGTAACCAAAAATACATGTTCCTCTTGGATGATAACTGAACTTTAATTGTACTTTTATTATGGAAAAAGGGAAATTAACAAATGGACAATCACTAACTACGTACTATTAGGGCTTGTTTGCGGTTATTTTTATAGAAAACACTGCTTGTGAATATTTTTATTTTTAGCAATTTTAACAAAAGCATGTTGAAATTTTTATTAAAAACCCAAGTGCTTCAAAGTGCCTTCCAAAAAAGTCATTTTAACTTTTTCTATCAAATGTTGTCAAAAGCAGTTTTGGTTGTTAGAAAACACTTTTAACCATTCCAAAAACCGTCCCAAACATTGCCGAACTACATAACACTAGTGTTTACTGTAGCATTTATATTGGTCCTTAGAAGAACAGGGTCCATGAGATGTTCTTTTTGGCCAAAGGGTCCATGAGTTTGAAGCAGCTTGGCATTGTTGTGAGAGGTTTTTTGTGCCCTACAAGATTTGGGGGAGGGGGCAGGTGAGATTATGAGGCTGTCAGTCCGGTGAGTGAGGGACATTCCCACGCGAACGTGAGGTTTTTCTTCACTTGAAGATTGATGGCCTTTTGTTCATGGCCCCATTATTTTAAGTTATATTTGGATATATTGCTAATGTTGCATGCTGCCCATGCCTCCAAGTTCCTATGACCTAAACTATTTGTCCGGATCAGACATCAATATGTCATTTTTATTCTCATAAACTTTTCAGCCAAGTTTTCTGATGTATATTGCTAGGTAGGCTCCAACTGAGTAAAATTTCTTAGAGGCTTCCTGCTTCCTCTACTGTGTTCTGTTCCCATTAGGCTCATTGTTTTTTTCCTGCTGAAACCTTGTGCATTGGACAAGCAAATGCAGTGGCAAAATAATTTGTTGTAGGATTCAAAACTGAATTATGCTACCAAGATGCCCTTTTAGGAGCAACATTTTCCCATCTGCCATCTATATGAAATGTTAGTATTAATGGAAGAAGAAGAAAAAAATCACTTTCAGAAGCATGTTGGGAGTGATTCTGGGAAGGTCAAAACTATTTATGAGGAAAAGCATCTCCTACGTGTTTATTCATATAATCACTTTAAGTGATTTTGGGGGGAATAAAATCTCTTAAAACCACCCTAAGTGATCATATGGAGAAGTGATTCTTCATAGACGTGATTTTTGGCCTATCCAAAATCACTCCTAAACAGTCCTCAGTGACAAAAAGCTAGCATATTGATAGGCACGACTTTGAAATTGCATTATGTTAACAAATGCCACTTTTGGAGGGGCATCTACTGACATCTTTGTGAGAATTAATAGCAAAAGCAGTGTTTGAAGCAAGCAACTTTTTTGTGCAAACCATAATAGACTAAGCAAATGCTTCATTCCAAAGTAATTGACTTGACTACTTGCAAAATTGCAGAGTTCTAGTACGAAAGTACAAAGTGACTGATTTATGCGCATGTATTGAGGTTAGAAGAAGAAGAAGGTTGTCGAAGAGGTTGGTGAAAACCATGAAATATTAAAAGGGATTTAAGTACACAATTAAGGCATTAAAAATCACAAGTTGGACAAAATGTAGCATAGCAAAATTGTATAGAGATTGGTTCCAAACTTGATGTGGATAAAATTGGTGACACAGAGGCTACAATTCACAGCAGATGTTCCAGAATAATGTGTCCGCAAAATCAGATTGACCCATGTGTAATTAAGTATGTGTGTGGCTTAAACTATATGAGTAAATAAATTAAAAGCAAAGTAAAGAATTAAACAGAATGTTTTTGGGCTAGTGGTGTATGGGAGTGTGAGTTATTATATAAGAGAGAGAAAGGCAAGAGGAGAGTTGGCAAAGATAGTGGCCAGATACAAGATATAAAGCCTGTGTTTAGGAACTTGAACCAGTAGAAATCAAGCTAGCTAGCTAGCTAGCCAACCCTCTTTGATCAGCTTGGCCATGAAATTCAACAAAACCCCCCATCTTTAGTTTTATTCTCCCAAAGCTCAATTCTCATTGGCGTTTAAGATCTGCTCTTGAACACCTCACTTCTGCAAAACAAAACCCACCACTCTCCTCCAACCATCTCCACCACCTTTCTGTCAGAACTCAGAAGAGCCTTGGCTATTTGTATATCAGAAAATGAAGGTGAGTCTTTGCTTCTGTTACATAAACTTACATTTGTGTTTATGTGTTTGTTTCTGTGTGTTAGAGAAACAGAGAAACAGAGAGACAGAGACAGAGAGATTAGTCTGTTTTTTTTCTTCTTCTTCTTTTTCCGGCTGAAAAAGGCCTGAATGACTGGCAAATGAGGTTCTTCAATGATGGTCTTGGTTTTATTTGATTGCAGCTTTTTGGTTGGATGCAAAATAAGCTTAATGGAAAGCAGGGGAACAAGAAACAAAATACAGTTCCTACTACTACTCGTAAGCTTTATTCTTTTACCCAAAAAATAACTCTGCATTTCTATGTTACTTTTATGTTCCATAGTTTGTGCTTCAATCTAAGTGATGGGATTTGTTTCCTATGTAAGGGGAATTGTTTTCTTTAACAAGCAATATATGCAATGTTAAGGGTTATTTGCCATTTTGAAGTGAAAAGCAATTAGTTTACGAGGATCTTAATTAATTAAAGAGTTGTGCTAGCAACAGTTGTTCACGTGTATTATATAAGTGGGTGACTCGTGCACAATTGTGAATCTCAAGATGAATCCATAGTAATGCACGATTTGTTGATAACACCAGCATTCTAGGATCATGTTAATGAGCAGACGTGTACTTCAAATTGATTAAGATTCAGAACATGGAATTATCAATGAACTAAGTTAACCAGTTGTATTGTATATAAAGATCCAGATATACAGTATATGCAATTTCTGCCAAATTCCATGTTCTTAACCTCATTGTAAGTTTCAAATCCAACAATATTCCATGATCAGATCCCAAAGCTCTTGATTTTGATCAAGTCTTGGTTTCACGTCCTTTTTCATATAGATTAAAGCAATAGGAAAGTGCATGTGATGTAGGGATCATAAAAGGAGCATTTTTCTGGAGCACAAAGTAGATCTACTGTCTTTACAAAAAGACACTTTGAAAATGCTGCACAAGTTAAAGTTATATATACAGAAAGGCAAAAATAAAATAAAATAAGGCTTGCACTATTTTCAATATGGCCTGTCCATATATATAATAAATGGAAAATGCTAGAGGCACCAACTTGCTCACCAACTCTCTAATAGAGCGTGGGAACCGTTGTATTGGCGGGCTCCACCTCTATTAGAGAGTTGGTGAGCAAGTTGGTGCCCAAAGTTGGTGCCTCTAGCACCACCCATAATAAATATAACGGTAATGCAGCTTTTCAACTCCCATATCATTAATGTCAGTTATGATCTAATTTCTTTCCATAAATATCTTATTTAGGATTTGTCATGTAATTATGTATTTATTGTGTAGATCCTGCAAAACAAGAGCCTCGTGAAGAATTCAGTGACTGGCCTCATGGATTACTAGCAATTGGAACTTTTGGAAACAATGATTTGAAAGAAAATGCAGCTGAAAGCCAAGATATTCAGGAAGATCCAACTTCATCAGAAGAAATACTAGATAATTTCACTCCTGAAGAGGTTGGCAAATTACATAAAGAGTTAACAAAGCTCTTAACACGAAAACCGAACATCGAAAAGGAAATCGCAGATCTTCCATTGGACAGATTTCTAAACTGCCCATCAAGCTTGGAGGTTGATCGGAGAAACAGCAATGCGCTTTGCTCCGATTCAGCAGATGATCACAAGGATGAAGACATTGAGAAGACTATTAGTGTCATACTTGGTAGATGCAAAGAAATTTGTGGAGATAATAATAAGAAGGCAATTGGGAAGAAATCCATTTCTTTTCTACTCAAGAAGATGTTTGTTTGCAGAAGTGGATTTGCACCACAACCAAGTTTGAGAGATACACTTCAAGAGTCAAGAATGGAGAAGGTATGAAACCATGACTATGCTCACAAAAACTATGTGAAAAGCTTACATGAACATGAACGTGCACATATGCATTAAAAAATTATGTCAATTATTTAATTAAGTACCATCCTAATTGATCATCCATATTTTGACTTGCAGCTTTTGAGGGTAATGCTTAACAAGAAGATCATCAATCCGCAAGGATCTTCTCGAGCAGCATCAATGAAGAAATACCTGGAGGATAGACAGATTCCAACAAAGAAGGAAAGTAACACTGAAGATGATACAAAAGAGAAAATTAATGATGGATGTAAATGGGTCAAGACAGATTCTGAATGTAAGTGCTGTTTTCTTTTCTTCAAATAGCATGATTTATAACATGCTCAAATTTAGAAGAGAACCAAATTGCACAAACTCTGTGGATCTGATGTGACCTGTTTTTTTTCATTACAGATATAGTCCTAGAAATTTGAGTGTGCCTCTGACTTTATTGGCATGCTTATTAGTTATTACAAAGGTAAGAGAGCCCTTTTTGAGTTTCATTGAAATGAGACTGCCACTCTTTTCACTTTCATATATGCTAATTAAACTTCTTCTTTTTTTATCTGCAGAGTCAGAAGTTTATGCTTCATACAATTATGAACTGAAATACTTGAAATTGGCAAAGTCTGAGAAATTTCATAGGGGCAACAACAAATCACCAATAAGTTCATCCCCAGTTGCTTCTGAGATGATCATAAAATATGCATGTATGACTGAGACAGCTTTTCTATTTTCTTAACTGTGGCGGTTCCCCTTTTTTTCATGGTTGCATCTGTGGAAACAGTTGCAATGCATGTTATGAAATTTCAAGGGGACAAGGGATTTCTGTAGTCTGTGCTGGCAAATTGAGCTAGACGATATCTACATTTTTCATCCTATTTATTTTCTACACATTTTTCTCTGTCTTTGGCTTTTCTTTCTCTTTTTTCCTTCCTTTTTTTTTTTTTTGGTCTGAATTGCTATCTTGTAATATAATTTGAGGTGAATAAATATTAGATTGACATGAACTTATGAAGGCATGGTTCAGAGTTTCTGATTCTCTTCACCTGCCCAGAGCCCCATGTTTTCAAAATGAAGTTCAATTTGAATGCCAACCATTAGCCCATCACTTTTCTTTTCTTTTCTTTATTTAAATGCCAAGTGAGATTACACAAAACCACCTTTAATATAATGAATTATAAACATGGTCATGGTTGAACTGAGCACAATAAGAAACATCAAATGGAAAATAAGACTGTCAAATTGTTAAATCGGAGATGTCATGAATAAGAACACTACAAGAAAAGGGAGATTGCAATTGAGAAATCATATGAGAAAATTTTCTGAGAAGGCCTAATAAGGTAGGATTGAAATAAACTGGGCTTTGCACTTCATGGGCCATTTCCCCAATCCACACTTAACCCATTTTTGGTTTGTTTTTCATTCAAGAAAAAGTTTGGCTTTTTAAAACTTAGGAGGAGCTCGCTTAATTCCCTGTAATATTGGCCATTTCCACAATCCACACTTATCAACCCACGCATATGCAAAAACAATGCATCAACGACACAAAAACAAAAACACACATATTAAACTCCAACTGTTATGGATATGAATGTAAAACTTCATACTTGGAAAATGATGCAAGTTTTTCTCAAATTAAATAGAAGGATAGTGAAAAATTGTGTTAAGAGAATAAAAATAGATAAGGTGAGCAAAAAACCATTTGAACCGTTTAAATCGGGCAAACAAAATCAACTTGAGTGGTTTGGTTCGTTTTACATCAAAAAAATATGATCTTAGATTGAATCAAACCAAATCATAATTGTTTGATTTGATTCGGTTCAATTTATGTCAAAGAATACAACATGAATTTCTATTTGATAAACTGCAATTGATTGTTTAATCAAATCGGTTACGAAATAGGTTGGTTTGATTTGATTATACTTCTAGTACAAGGCTAAAGTGTATAATTCCAACCGTAGTATTACACAAATTTAGTGTGCGCTTTAGATCTAAATCGAGTCAAATCAGACCGAATCCTATTACAGCTATTAAATTGACAAAATTAAAATTTAGTAGGGTGCTGTTATTTCCATCCCGTATCTTATTATGCCACCCACCTTATTTTCAAAAAATTTAAATCAAATTTATTCCTTTATAAAATGATTTCTAAAGACAAGGTGGAAACAAGCCCATTCATTTTAGTTTTGCTCTCTTGAAAGATAAAAGAAATTGTCACAGAGAGAGAGAGAGGAAAAAAAAAAACAAACAAACCTGATGTAATAATGAATTAACGCCAACTGGTTCAGAACTTTCTATACTCAAGATTTTTATAATAAAAACAATTTATCTAAATACGCTTACGAACATAAGTACTTCTTAGAAAAGCAATCCCAAACTAGACCTTTGATTGAAAAAAAAAAACCAAAGATATTTGCTTAACTTCCATACAAAACCATGTCACTCTCCAAACCCTAGAATAATTGTAATTCTCGACCCAATAAATAAAATAACCCCTTGCCTCCATTATTTCTGGATTTTCTCTCACTTTCTCTCGGATTCTCTCTCGTTTCCCTGGCCAAATTCCCCCCCTCGTACTCTTCCGGGGCGATTGGATCTGAGTCTTTTTTTAATTACAAATTTATCCGGTCCCATCAATCCGGAAGAGAAGCCTCGAATTCTTTGTCTCTCCTCAATTTCTAGGGTTTTTGGATCTGAAAAGGCTAGGATTTTCTTGCTTAGTTCGTTAAAGTTAGGGTCTTTTGCTTATTTTGTTCGAAGTTAGGCCCTTGGTTTTGGTGTTGTTTATCTTGGAGGAAATTGAAGGGTCTTGGGAGGCATCAGAGAGAAGCCTGAGCTGCCAATGCCATTATTGGTTTGGATATTGGTAAATTTTTCGGTGATTTTTGAGAAACCGAAAAAGTTGAAGTTTTTAGAGCTAGGAAGAAACACCGATGTCTTGGGCGGGCCCCGAAGATGTCTACCTCTCCACTTCTCTTGCCAGCTATCTTGACAGTATGCTTTCTCTAATTTATACTTTTTCTGGGGCTATGAATTTAATGGTTGCATGAAGTTATGATATCATTTCTAGTTCTTTCCTGATTGTTTTCATGCATCTTTGTCACTGTGCCATTGATTTGTTCTTGTTTGTGTTCTTTATGGTTCAATTTGTTTATTCAATTTCATCTCAAGGTTTTTGTTTTCAATGTAGTCTATGTTCTTTATAGGTTTCCATTTGAATTTTTCTTCTTCTCGTATTTGAATTACCTTGTAGATACATTAATACTTCAGAAGCGTGTAAAAGTATGTTATGTGGTCTGAAGTTGGTGCATGGTGCATAACAATATTTCTTTAAATCTCGCTGTCAATGACATCTTTGAATGAATATTAATAAAATTGACTCGAAGATTGCATGATGGGTTTAGGTTGGCTTTTTAGTTGTGGGTTCAGCAATTGTTTTCTTGCAGTAAAGGCCCGGTGGTCTGATGTTATTTTTCATGCTGCAGAAAAACTTCTTGTGCTGCTCCGAGATGGTCGGAAGCTTTTGGGGATTCTTCGTTCTTTTGATCAATTTGGTACCAACATTATCTCCTCTATTGTTGTGGGAAACGCATGCTAAACTTTGGCTCAATCTTCTAAAATTATTATTATTTCTGATTTGCAGCCAATGCTGTTCTAGAGGGTGCATGTGAGCGAGTCATTGTCGGTGAACTTTACTGTGACATCCCTTTAGGTCTTTATGTAATCCGTGGGGAGAATGTTGTTCTAATTGGCGAGCTGGTATGATTAGTTATTAGTTGGTTTGGCATCTACAACTTACAAGAGATTGAAATTTTGCATCTTTGAATAATGTTAAGATCTGCATTTGATGTTCTAGGATTCAGAGAGAGAGGAACTCCCACCACACATGACTCGTGTTTCAGCTGCAGAAATCAAAAGTGTAAGTCTTACCCGCTTGATGTTATCTATGAATGGTGTGTTGACATGAACTCCCTCAGTTCCTTCCTTTTTCCTTCATGAAGTAAAACTTTGTTTTGGACTTCAATTTGTTTAAGTTACTGAGTTTGTAAAGCTGCATGATTTTAAAACACTTGGTTTGAAAATAAATATTGAGAAGATTAGGGGAATAAAATTCACAATGGAAATTAGTAGGTGAATGATGCAGTTTAGAAGCATATGTTCATCACAACTTTGGAAGTTTGATTCCAGTGTATAGGATGCTTGAGCTGGTGCATTTAATTTTGTGCTATATGTTCAAAATGTAAGCATACAAATGTCTGGTGGGATATTAGGATCACTTGTTCTATGTGTGTTTAAGTATCCATAGGAGAAATCATTAACATTTCTAGAAGAGAGAAATATCTGACATTGCTAGAGTAAAGGTGATTGTAATGATTAGCCCAAATATCTTTTCTGAAGAGTGAGTGTTAGTGGATGAAATTCTAAGTACCTTTAAGGTCTATGCCTTTTTTTTCAAATGACCTTCATAAAAATGTTTTCTTGTATTTCTGTTTACTTTATGTATTGGAGTCAACAGATCAACAGAAAAGGTTTCTAGGTAACCAAAACTGGGGTTAAATAATTCTGTGAATTTGAGTAAACTTGGTAAGCCATTTTGCAAAAGTCATACCAAGAGGCAGAATGTCTAGAAACCTGGCCAAAAGATGTTGGTCCCTGAGTGGGGTTTGAATTAGGGCTTTCCTGGTGGTAGGGCTCATGAATAAATGGTTTTCCATTTTTTCCTTTCCAGTGTTTTTGTTATATTTGGTTCTGCTTTGTTTGTTATATTTTTATGTGCTTTGCTTTGCCACTTTTATTGGAATCCTGTACAAATGATTTGCCTTGTAATTGTGCAGGCACAGAAAGCAGAACGAGAAGCGTCTGATCTTAAAGGTACCATGAGAAAAAGAATGGAGTTCCTCGACATGGATTAAAGGATTTTTTTCCAAGTTCATGGAGTTATTCACTTGTTGTCCATCCGCAAATATTATAGCGGCTTCTTTTCTTTCTCTTCTTCTCCCTCAGGTTGTCCGGTGTTCGTAGATGCTAGAGGTTTTAAAATCCTTGGAAATTAGAATTGTAATGAACAATAGTTCAAATTTGTTTCTGTAATATTTGTCTGAGTTGAATAGAAGTATCCCTTTGCTTTTGGTACTAGCAGTATGACAAAACTTTGTGTGGATTCGAAAGTCCAAGGGACCCTGATTTAGTTTGTTTATAAACCCTTTTGACGCAATAAAGAACATCAAAGAATCAAATGAACACCAAGAATGACGCATCGAAGCCGACACAGTACTAACGAAAGCTGTTATTGTCATCTTAGCATAATTTTGTAGTGCTGAAAACAATGGTGGGGCTGCCACTCTCACCGGCAGCCCTATCACATGGAGTGGGATCAAAGAACGGGGGTTTCTTTCTTTCCTGAAGTTGGCCGGACGGCCGGACAATTCACGTGATCAGGCGGCCTGACCAACCGAACAAGCCACATAACGTAACCCTGTTCGGTAGTAAGTTTTTCTCGTTCAGTGTAGAACAGAAGAGTGTGGAATGGAGTGTCCAATTCTTCTAAACACCGACAGCATTGACTTCGATGGCATTCCTCTCGTCACAAGTTCACAACACAAGGATGAAAATCTTACTGGCCAGGCTTTTACTCAAAGTCTCAAAGGCCAAACCAAACAAACACATTATTTATATTCAAAATCCATAAATAAAAAATTATTATTATATGAAAAGTAAATAATCAGACGCTCGTGGTTTCGCAAGTTCCCTCGTGCATTCAGTTCAACGGTTTTAACCCCACTCACACGAAAACCAAGCCATACGTGTGTTACACACAAGACTATCTCTCCCACCTCAACATTAAGCAAACATTAACTAAACATAGTCCCAGCAAGTCTGAAGTTGAAAGAGTAGAAACTAGGAAGAGAGAGAGAGAGAGAGAGAGAGTCTTGAGAGACAAAGGCAGCTGAAAGCTAAAACAGATCAGATTTCAGAGACCACCAGAGAGAAGCTTCCTCTCTTTCTCTTCTGTCTCTTAGATTTGGGTTTTGAGATTGGTTGAATTGGAATTTAGGGATTTGAAATTGAAATGTGGTTCTCTTCTTTAGCTCTTGCTCTTCTGCTATGCGTTTTGAGCGTGGAAGCTTCGGTCCACGAGTACGCCGGAGAGAGATTCGCCACTAAAGGCAACGCCTTTGTCGTCCATGGCGGTAGCGAGGGAATTTACTCTTCTGCCCCTACTCAATCCACCTCCGTCTCTGCCAACGGCGACTCTTATATACGGTAAATCATGAATGCCATTTTCCCATTTTCTCTCTTTGCTTTCTAGCTGTAGTCTACTTTGTAATTGGATAAGATCTGTTGCCCAATTTGCTTCACTTGAATATTTGATTATTTGGGTGCATAATTGGTAATTCTGGTTTGTAAATTGTAAAGAAACCAAGATTTTCCATGGGAATTTTGAATGTGATTGGCCAGTTCATGTGTTAGTGGCTGTAGCTGATTTTTTTTTTTTTTTTTTATATTACATTTCTTAAACCCTGTTTGTACCCATTGTCTGATTTTGTGTTATAATTTGGAACCAGCTTTGAAAAGATTACATTTAGGAGAAGCAAAGAATCTGCTAACTTGAGCTCATGGCCTATCCATGCCATTGTTTTTGAGGTGGAGGATAGAGAGACTATTGGGGGTTCAGCCTATGGTGGTCAAAGAGCAGTGTGTTGCACAGGGGATCTTGCAAAGCTGGGAGTTTGTTCTGAAGGCGAAATCATACACCGCCCATCTACTAAGAATCCAGGTTGGCCTCAGGTATTTGGTGTCTCATTTGCAGCACATGAGAAAGTTGCCATGTTGCGATCCAAATCCATACAGATTACTAAAACTGGGATGTACAATTTGTATTTCATTCATTGTGATCTGAAGCTGAGCGATTTGGTTGTTGAGGGGAAAACTGTATGGAAAAACCCTACTGGGTATTTACCTGGTAGAATGGCACCTTTTATGAATTTCTATGGGTTTATGTCCCTTGCTTTTGTCATACTTGGGATCTTTTGGTTCTCACAGTATGCAAGATTTTGGAGAGAAGTTTTCCCATTGCAGAACTGTATCACTCTGGTAATAACACTGGGTATGTTTGAGATGGCTCTATGGTATTTTGAGTATGCTGAATTCAATGAGACCGGAGTCCGACCAACTGGGATAACTGTATGGGCAGTTACCTTCGGGACAGTTAAACGTACGGTGGCACGTGTGATACTTTTAATGGTCTCCATGGGCTTCGGTGTTGTAAGGCCTTCCCTTGGTGGGCTTACATCAAAGGTGATTTTGCTTGGACTGACCTTCTTTGTAGCATCCGAGGTTCTTGAGATGGTAGAAAACGTAGGTGCAGTAAGTGATCTTTCCGGAAAGGCAAGGTTGTTCTTGGTTCTTCCTGTTGCAATATTGGATGCTTTCTTCATTCTTTGGATATTCACTTCCCTCTCCGCAACTTTAAATAAGCTTCAGGTACGTGCTTTGGTTTTGATTCCAAGGATATTTAGTGAATTATTTTCAATATAAGCTTCAGTTACTAATTTTCTGCACTTGCTTCATATAATCTGCCAATTTGTCTTACCAAAATGAAAAACCAAGGTGCTTGAATCTTGAGGAAAATTATATGAGAACAAATGAAGGAAAATCATACCCTTTGTCAACCATAAGTTACCATTAATCTCTTGTTTGTGGGTTATCCAGGGGTATTGTATTCGTATACTTAGGTTTAATGTATGCTGCATGATGTGATGCCACCAATTTCTGTCAAGAACTTTAACTTATAAGTATCTGGCTGATAAGTTCTTCTTGCCTCTGTGATGTGGCAGGCTAGGCGAATGATGGTTAAACTAGATATTTACAGGAAGTTTACCAACGCTTTGGCAGTGACTGTCGTCGTGTCCGTGGGTTGGATATGCTATGAGGTAATCTTGAAATTGAAATGCGTGCACTTTTACCTAAGAAGATGAATAAAGTATTTGTGATCTGGTTGTGAGTTAGCATGCTCAGGATAATTTTTTACTTACAGATGAATGATTTGCATCTGTTGAAAACAACATTATCGGGGCGTGCAGCTCTCTTTGTTTTTAATTTGATAAGTCAAGCATTTTGAACTTTGTACTTGCAGCTATATTTCAAATCAAATGATGTGTACAATGAGCAGTGGCAGAATGCATGGATCGTCCCTGCCTTCTGGCAAGTTTTATCTTTCTCTCTCCTATTTGTCATCTGCGTTCTTTGGGCACCATCGCAGAACTCAACAAGGTAAAGATCTGGCTTCCATCCTTTCACTCACAAAAGTTCTTTCATGTTTAAACTTGTTACATGAATCTACCCTTTTCGTATTTTTTATTTGAAAACTGGAGACCCCTCCTTCTTTTGGTATATGAATTATCCCTTATCCCCAACCTATCTCTCTTCTGTTTTCTTAGATATGCTTACTCGGGCGATGCAAGCGAAGAGTTTGACAAGGACGATACGACCTTGACACTCATAAAGCCATCTCTAACACCTGCTAAGGATGTCCTTAGTGCACCAGAAGCTAGAGCAATGCATGGCAGCAATGGGTTATCAAAAGGTGATGATGAAGAAGACAAGATAGAGTAAAGTAGAACCACCGCCCAGCTGGAATATTTTGTTTGCATTGCATCAATATCCAGCTGCTCCTACACTACAAAGGGACCGTATGATATACAGAGGAGCAGAATTGATCATGGGATAGAAAATTCAAATTTTATGTTGGGATTATAACGTTAGCTAGTTAGTTTTGTTTCATGTCCTTGTGTATTCGATTATTTCGTTTTTATTAATGTTCCACTTAAAAGTAGTCAAAGATACGCAAATGAGATCTGTTGTTGTTGTGTTCTTTTCTGATAAATATATTTATATCATTGGCTGTTCACATATTACTTCCTTTCTATTTTTATATTAATTTGTTGATCAAATACGGGAGGGCGAACAAATGTTAACCACTTGAGCTACAACACTCTAATCTCTAGCGCATGTTTTGTAAGTGTGTGCACGTATGCGATTCTTTACCATAAGATCTAGTACCTGATGATAGAGTGGATCCTGAGCATTTTCCTTGTTATGGGAATTTTTCCTGTGACAGAGGGACTATGATGCGCGTGGAACTCATTTGATATCATAGCACCTTTGCATGAAAAATGATTTGTTAGCTTTTGTAGAGGAATTTTCCGAACACCATCTGGCTGCAAATAAGTGACTAGTTCAAATATTTTGTTATAATACGTAGAACCGACAGATTGAATGAACTATGTCAATGGAAATGTCTTAAAAGTGAGATTTTAACAAATCATCTGATCCTGAAGGTTATGTTATGAAATGTAAAGGTCAGGAAATTGTTTGCTCTGTACTAGTGGATGCAAAATCTGGCAGGCCCGACGAGAGATCGATACCCCGAGGCCTGTTTGGAAGTCCTCTCTCGGCCATGGGAAACATTTCCACATGAAGAAAGAATGGCTTTGCCCAAGTTAAGCAAGATTTGCAGGGTTGGAAGGAATTGGAATTCCAAAATATTGGTTCAGAACAAACAGAAGCACCAACTTTTCTTGCCAAATATATTCTAGATCCAGGCTACAGCTAACTTATTAATCACAGAACTTTCTCTTATCAAATCCATAAAAACATATTTACATTTACCGAGAGAAATTCAATAAGTAACGTTACTCTAGTACCATACAGAAAAATACCATGTGTAAACCTAAATTTATTATATATCATAAATAACATAAGGAGCAAAACTAAGGTAATTAGAAAACTAACTCATTTAACATACAGAAACCTCAACTGAAGCAGAGATGCCGTAATGCAACTTGGGAAGGGCAGTTGAAGGGACAAAGCTACATATTATATACAGTAGTTTAGTTACTGAGAGATGCAAACAACTTCAAACGAACTTTACTTAAAATCGACTCCACATGCGCGGTTTTACTTACTAAAATTAGAAGCAATTGTCCATAAGGTTTCCTCTTTGATGTAGAAGCCTATTTATACAACATTTTCCATATGCATCTCAATCATGGCCAGAAAGTTACGATACGGCATAGAAATCATCTGAAGCTTGTGCTGGAAATTGCTATAATTGTCAAAACTTATCTAAGATTTCATTTTCCAAATTTGCCTTATGAAAAGGCTAAAAATACGACCTGGTATACAAGTCACCTGGAACTAATTATAAGAAACTGCTTCTTGATATTAAAAAGATTGGAACAAAGCACACACACAACAATTCCAATATGAACAAATGAAACAAAATCTAGATCCTAGTAGTAGTAATAATAATAATAATGATAATAAATAACATGCTTACAGGGCAGAAGCATTCAGGCTTGTAGACTTGGCCACTCTGTAGAGCTGCAACTGAGATCTTCACAAACAATCTGATCTCCTCCAATCAACAGAATATTGAACTATGTAGGATTTGTAATGAAATGGAAAGCTCATTGAATCCCAGACTGACCAACACCAACACCACCCGAACACTCCACAAAAAAATTCAAAGAATGTGTCCTAGTTTCTAAACTTGCAAAACTTAACTTCAATTTGATCACATTCACTGAGATCTCCTCCTCAAGTGCTGGGATACCGAGTACCCCTCAAAGAAATCCAATACAGCAGTTTCCAAATCTTCGACCGAATACTTGATGTAATTTTCCGGATGCCTCCCACTCTCTATATGGCTCCTGAACCGCCCAAGAAACGACCTATAAGCTGGGATCAACTTCTCTGAGATAGATATCCTTAGCTCCTCCCTAAGCTGAGAGTCCGGTATCAACCAAGTAGCTTGAGTCCTATGAACCTCCTCAAACATGGCATTGAAAGACTTAAACCTCTCTCTCAGAGCACTCTTTGACACCCCAGAAGAAAAACTCCCACTCACATGTAACCCTTCATCCCTCAAACAATACAACACGCTCACCCAAGTAGCTCTCTGGTAACTAGTGGCCGCCTGGCGGAACTTCCCGGTCAACTTCCTCAAATAATCGTCACCAATCATCTCCCTCAGTTCCGGGGACCCTTTGATCTTCTGAACTATGTAATGAACATTGTTCATCATAAACAAGTGAGCTATTGAAGCATCCTTATAGTGCTTGGACTTGCCATCCAAATTAAATTGCAAAATCACAATAATCCAAATCAAATGCAGAGCCAAAGGGGTCTTTCCCTCCAGCTCGGCAAACTCCATATCCGGGGTGGTGGGGTCGCCGGAGTACCGCGACCCCGTGGAGGGTTTTGACACAATAAGCTCATTCAAAGTCTGCTTATAATCCGATATCAAACTGATGTAATTCATTACATACCGAGTCAATGGATGAATCGTTCCACCCGGGACTGGGACCTTAGAAGGTTCGCGAAGCACTGCGTTCTCAAACTCCGACAAAATCCCCCTCGCCGCCTCCGCAAGCCTCGACAGGATCTCCACCGCCTGAATCCGAATCGACTCGGACGATTTCGATTCAAACACTGATTCGATATCCGGCATCAAGTCCATCAGAGCGTCGTGCAAGTCGAGAATCTTGAAGAGTTTCTCCGGCGACCTCCGGCTGATGCTGATCGCCTCGGCGAAGTTGAAGAGCTGAATCGCGGGGCCCTTCACTGTTTCCATGAAGCAAGCGTCGTCAATGGCGGTGCCGATGTCGTTGAAGATTTGCTCGCAAAGCTTTTTCTCCGAGGCGAAGACGATCCTGACGCAGGCCTTGGCGGCGCGTATCCAGCGTCGGATCTTGGCCTCGAGCTGCTCCCACTGAAGCCTCTGAACATCGCCGATGCTCAACTTCTCAATCCCTAGCCTTCGGAAACTCGAGTCTACTGCGGACTTCCGTACTCCACCGTACACCTGAATACACTCGCGGAGGAATCCGGCGGCGATCATCCGCTCGGCGATGTTGCGGAGATCGACGACGGCATCGGAGGGGATGAGATCGAGCTCGCGGATGCTGCTGGTGGACCTGTAGCTGCAAGTGTTCGACGAATCGCCGCGCTGAAGCAGCTCGTCGGCGTCGCCGACGGAGGCGGAGGAGGCCTTGGGAGTTGTCAAACCGGAGTCGTCTTCGGCAGAGTAATCCTCGAACTCGGAGTTCGAATCAGCGGCGCAGGAGTGAGTGGACGAGCTCGGATCGGTGGAGGTGAGCGAGTCAGGCTCGATGGGAGAGGTATGGTTGAGGAGGATGTTGCGGAACTCGTCCTCGAGCCTCGCCATGGCGATCTGGATGGCGGAGTTGAGCTTGGCCTGGTCGTCGTCGGAGACGAGGGAGGCGGAGGACATGGAGCGTTGGATTTCATCGACGGCCTGCAAGTAGCGATCGACTTCGTCCCGGTGGCCTTCGAATATCATTCGTTCCCTGGCTTCTTCAGAGGCCGTCGAGTCCCACAGGAGAATAATCCTCTCCGCCGCGTCGAGCTCTGTAGGCGAAGGCGGAGGTGGAGCTTCCATGAAACGCTGCGTTTTGAGCTGCTGGTGGTGGTGGCGAGAGTTGAAAATTGGGGGAAAAAGATTGGAGGTTCAGGAAGTAGACGATGGTCTTCGAAAGGCAGCTGTGGAAAAAAAAAATTTGTTGCTCTTGATCTTTTGTCAATTGTGGTGGTAATAGCGACCGTAGCGTCAGTCGTTGAGAGACACTGTGGAAATGGAAAAATGGGAAACTGGAAGAAGGTAAAATTGCAAGAAAGACTTGATTTTTGACAGTTTTGACTTCCTTTTGCTACTCAACCATGACTTGTCTAAGACACGGGGGCTCGGATGCCGCCGCTGTATTTCGCGTTTAAAACTGAATCTTTCTTGTACGGAAATTGAAACTTTTCCACTAACAAGGAGTCGAGCAGTGTTCATTTAAAATTAAAACATTTCATGCCAATGTGTCTAGCCAGTGCATATAAGGATCTTGATTTGCTCACTAGTGGTTTTGCGATGTTAAAGTCTATTTAAGAAGATTCTAAAATAAATAAAAACTTTTCATAGTGTTTAACAGAGAAACTTATAAGTGTTTCTAGGTCACATACACCCTTTCAAGAATCATTTTCAAGTACTTTTCTAAGAATAACTTTCAAGTACTTTTCCAATAAGTACTTTAATTTTCAATACAAATTTTCACATTGTTCTTCTGATAGAATAGAAACACTTCTAAAAAAGCGCTTTCTAAATAGAAGTATTAGATATGTAAGTAGTCAAATAAGTCATTAATGTGATAATATTATTCTTATTTGTCTCTCTTCAATTTTCTTTCTATTGGTCAAATGCTGGGAGATTGCATTTATAAATTATGACAAAAGCGCAATACAAATACAAAAGTCTCAAGAGCTATGACAAACACCCCCGAATGACTACACCAAACACGAAGGGATCTAATCACATCATCAAACTTATATGGTACACCTCCACTTAAAGCTATGTAGAGTCAACTTAATGTCCCACAGGGCCATAGATAGTTGGACTTAATCGCCTTAAATCTATAATAATCAAGTACAACAACCATAACGCAACTTACAAGCGGTCCAATACATAAAATGGGTTGTATCGTATTTGTATTATAAAAGTGGTGCAATACAAGGTTAATTAAGATGGGATAAGTAGGTGTTTTATTCTAATTTTGTGATAATGTTGTTGAGGTTGGTAATGCCAACCACCAACATGAACCAACATGACAAGGTTAATGCTAAGACGTTACCCAAAAAAGGACAAAGAGTGAGAGAGGGTGAATAAGGAAGGAAAGATATGTGTCTTTATATTAGACTTGACTTGGTTGAATTTTGACCGTTCCATTCAAACCATCGAACCCGAATTACTACTACTACTATTCTCTTCTTCAACATGTTGACGGCGTGTCGGATTGGCTCACCCTTTTAGCAAACTATTTTGGGTTTACTCTTCTTCTCTTGAGTTTTGATCATTTTTGTGACAGGATGTCACCAAAAAATAAATATCTACGGCATTGCTTTGCTTTATGGTCACATCAAATTTCATATGGGATTCTCACATACATACTTGAAAAACTTCAATTATCTCTTCAAGTATAATGTATATCCAAAGAAATTAGCGTACGCAAAAATTTCGTTCGATTCTTTCTTGTTACGTGGCAAGTTGACTAATTGACCTCCTTATATAAGAATTTTCATTTATCGTAACGTTTTTTTCATAGTCAAAATTTTGGAAGAAATGACAGATTTAATTGGATTCATTATGTCATATGGCAGGAAAATCCCCGCCCATAGTTTTTCTCCGAAAACATTACAAGATGAGCCCTAGCTATATTCCAAAAATTTGAGTTACTCAAATGAGTTTTGTACCTATATTGCCACAGTGATGGGCCCAAACTTACTCAAATGAGGCCTAGTTAAGTATTGACATTTGGCTCTCCTTCTGTAGTCATTAATTTTAATTAATCTTTGATCATGAAAGCAGAAATCTGTGCAATGCCAGCTAAACAAGAGCATGATTTGCTGGCTCTGGCCTAAGCTTTCTGTCTATAATTAATATACTAATTAGCCTTAACAATAATTATTATTGTTATTAGCCACATACAAGAGCAAACTTAAACTAATCACGAAATTAAATGATGAAATTAATGAAGTCAACTAATCTACTGCCAAATTAGGGCGACATTCACGTGCATGCATGCTTGCTTGCACGTACACACGCTATTTATTTGCATTAATTCATTAAGAATATAATCATCCATATCTCTTCCCCAAAAAAAAAAAAAAAAAAATCCATGAAGTAAAATTTAAAGGGGGCATAACGCAATACTTTAAGATGTAACAGGATCATATAAGCATATTGTGTGCAGTATTGTCTTTAAAAAAAATTAATAAAATAAAATAAAATAATTATTATTTTGTTATTTATTGATTGGTGTAAACATAGGTGGCTACTAGTACAACACACTATACATTTATTATTTTGGTAAGAACAATCTAGAAGGGAGAGACAGAAAAATGTTTGAATTTCAGAGTTGCACGAGTGTTGCAGGCTGCGTTTAAGGAGAAGCAAATTATTTTTTCGTGCTCATTTATTGCTCTATGTTTTGTTTGCCCTATGTTGTGCTAGTACTGTAAAGTTCCCATGGTTGATGGTAGAGCAGAGGCGTACCAAGGAATTTTTCAGCGGATGTGCAAATTTTAAAAGCTAAGAGTTCAAAAAATACAAAAGTAAAAAAGACAACTAAACATCCTTATAATTTAAACAATACTAATGTTATCCATAATTAATTGAAAAAAAAAAACATTACAATTAACTACAATTGTTGTCGACGAGATTTCATATCATGAAAACGTCGCATTATATTTGCATTACTAATACAAGAAAAAACATATTTCTCAATGTAAAAATAAGATTTATTAAAAAAACAAAAAAAAAAAACAAAATCGGCATTTGCTCAAGAAAAAATATATATGCATCTGACTTACTTTGGATTGGCGTACTCAAGAAGGAAAAGAAAAATGTAGGATTCTTGTAATGCATACACACTTTGATGAAATTGGGTGATGTTAAATTGGTCCTTTATAAAGAGAATTCTCAATCCCACTTAAATAAGGAATTCCCAAAACCCAATTAAATAAAGAAAACTTAATTGGGTTTTAATTGGAATACAAAAACCCAATTAAGTGAGGAATTGCAAAAACCCAATCAAAACCCAATTCAGCAAGGAATTATAAATACCCAACTAAAACCCTATAGAAGCCCACGAATGGCCCAGCTGTTTCCATTTTTATTATTATAAAAATTATAAAAAATTATAAAATAAAGCGCGTTGCAGACAGCAGCGCAGCACCCAGGTCTCTGTGCGTCTCTGGTCTGAGCAAAGGTGCAACTCCAGGAGTTTTCCAGCGACCGGAGGTGCAGGTGCACGTCCTTCCGCCTACACAGGTCCACCACTGGGTAGGAGGGGCAAGTTCTTAACATTTGAGGCCTTTGTTTTGTTTGTAATTTGGAGACTTAATTTCAACTTTGCAAAAAGACATGGAATTAGCACTCTTTTTTCTTTTCTGTTTTTTTGTACAAACGACAGTCTAAACTAGAGAGAATTGAGATTTCTCACACACACACAACTATGATACCGTGAGGATTTGAAATTGATGGATGATCAATCGGAGAGATAAGTTTCTTGTGACACCATTTACCCGATGCGGGGGGGAACTACCTACAAGACTACCCTAAGCTGTAGCCCAGCCTATGTAGGTTTTTGAAGATGTTTTTTAAACCTATTGTAGCCAATGTTTAAATAAAAACAAAATTAAACCTATAGAGCCCATCAACTTGTCGTTCTCACTTGTGGTTGGGCCCCTCGTTTTGTGGTCTTTTCGGCAATTTCCGCACTATTTCTATGAATAGGGAAATATTATTTTTCCAAAGTCTATTTTGTGGTCTTCTTAGTGGTTTCCCCATTGTTCGTATATTAACCCTTTTGTTGCATTTAATCTGTATTTTTTATATGCTAAACTTATTGAAAATTAGTTAATAAGGCTATGAACTAGGATTATATGATTTAATGTATGCTTTTATTTTTAGAAAAAAATATATAGAAATTGTAAGTTAAAAAATATCATTAGATTTTAAGCTAAAATTTTTAGCTAGCCCACCCTTCAAAAAATTCCTAGTTCCGCCCTTGACCCCATGGGACGAGGATATAATGACATACCCGACTCCAACTCAGCCCTTTGTCGTTATCTTCACCCTTCTTTCAAGTTAGACCCAAGCGGCTTTAGGAGCATAAGAAGTACTATTGGTCCCAATTAATGCGCTTTATTAAGATTTGTGTCATGCAATGAAAAAGAACTTGCATGTCACGAGAATAACATTGTTTTACTATATTAATTCAATCACGCTCCTCTATGTGAAATCTTTATCACATATGACAGAACGTAAAGCAAAACAATATTATCCTATTATGTACACATTTCTCAACATGCGGTAGATCAATTCTAATCTTACAATTGTCTTATGAAAATTTTCTTTATTATAAAGAAGAATGCTAGCAACATTCTCTTTAACTTTCTCTTTTTTCCTTATGCCATGTGTCACTTTTTTTACGCTTAAAACAATATCATTAATGCATACACTGGCGGACCCAATACATGCCTACTGTGGGCAGTTGCCCACACAGTGTTTTCTTCACCCTCTAGCCAAACACTTTGCCAATAAAAATAAAGAGACTTAGCTAATATTTTACATGCAAAATCCCCACTCAACACCTTAAATAAGTAAAGCCTTCAAGGTTTTGGGCTCACCTATATTGAAAATATCAAGGCCCAAGACTTAATAAACATGTGGTCCAATATATAAAGCCTTAGATTTTGGCCCAAGATCATATATTAAAAAATTATTGAAATAGATTATGTGTTATAATATATATTGTATTGCTATGAAAACCTAGACTTTGTAGGAGTCAGTTATGAAATTATTTTTTACGCCCCCAGATGGACAGAAGTCTAGGTCCGCCACTGAATGCATAGCTTTTCTATCGATTAACTATGTTATTTATTAGTAGAACCTAGGATTATATAGAGTGACAAATTACGATATTGGTTCAATGAATTAGCATCGGTAAATGTCAAGTAGAGTACATAATATACAACAATGTAGTAATTAAACCAAAATATTGATATCAGTGGAGCCCTAAATAGTTAGAACCTTTGAGACCTGAATGCACAACCTCTCTATCTATTTCTCACACAGTTTCTCTATCACAGTGATAGCAAAACGAAACTGATTAAGTTTTTTAGTAC